AAAAAAAACAACTGACTACTGGCTTTTTATTTGTTTGTTTGTTTGTTTGTTTATCAAGATCTGGTATCAGTGAAAAGAGTCTTTTAATTGATTCGTCTGCTTTGTCTTCCTCAGAGGTGATGACTCTTTTGCTCATACCCAGTGCAAATTTTTTAATTACTCATTAAATGTGTTATTGTTATTTTGTTTTCCAAAATGTGCATTGTGTTGGTGTGTTGTTGACCCCTGGGGTTATCCTGCCACCTGCTGAGGGTAAAAAGAAAAGCTCCAGCTGCTCTGTTCTCTTCTCCAGCCTGGGTCTTTATTATTATTATTTTTTATTATTATTTTATTTAATCAAGAAAACTTGTGACTTGGGTCCACAGGAGTTTTTAATTGCTACAATGAATTATTACTTTCATAATTTCATTTTTCTCTATTTTTCTTATCCAGTTTTACAAGCTGAGTAGCCATTAAAACAGTGCATATTTTTGGCATGGGCCAAACGAGACAAACCTACTATTATAAAAAAATAAACAAAAAAAACAAAGCAGATCATTTCAAAATTTCCAACCAAAATTATGGAAAGAATTTGTATCAAAACATGTCTGTCAGGACCCATTATAAACAACCAGATTACAGTAATGAAGGGAGGAGGGTGTTGGTCAGTGAGGGAGGGGAGGCATCTTCTAATCAGAGGGTCGGGGGTTCAATCCTCTGCAGCACACCAAAATCTCCTCACTGACTCCTGCTTCCACTACACTCATCAGTGGCTGAGAACCAAGAAGTTCTCTTATAAGTGAGCTCTAGTAAACCGTTTCATGAATTAATGGATGAATGCGAAACATAATTTGCAGAACCTGACGAGGTTTAAAAGGTTATACATTAAATGCAGACCAACGCCGGCTGCCTTTTCTGTAGTGCTTATGCTTCACTGGTGGGTTTTTAATTAAGCACAGGCGCGTTTGCACACGTGATGGATGTGTGGTTATTTGATTGGAGTTGGTTTATAGTTAATAGTTTTGGTCAATTAAAAAGCCACGCTGAAGACGTGAGATGTTATTTTTCTGTCTAAATGATGTGTGTGGTGTTTTACCAAACATGTTAGACTGACTTTGTGCTTATAGTTGTGCAAATCTGGACTTGTGTTTTTCTATTTTGTGTTAATGGGATTGTAAAAAAAAAAAGTTTTACCTCTGACGCCCTTGCTGACGCAAGCCGTTATCAAGCCTGCAACCTGAACAGACAGCTAGCCAACATGTTAGCTTCCTTAACCTTTAAAAAGCTACATAAATTACTTGCTAATGCTAAACTGCTAATATTTATGTCCACGATGACATAAATGTGTTTCACCCGCACTTTGAACACCCTTGCTTCTTTCACTTCCTTCTAAACATCATGGTTCGGACCTTTAGGGTCAATAACCAGAACTTACACACAGATATCAAACCAGACCTGAATGTGACAACCAGGGTTGGTATAGGCAACCTAGGCAATTGCCTAGGGTGCCATCTGCTGGAGGTGGCTCTGCTGTTTCAAAGAGAAAAACATAAAAAAGGTAATTGTTTGTACTTTGGATTCTCATTTGACTTATCGTGATCATGTACAAGTCTTAACCCCTAAGTTGAAACAGAAATTATACGCTGTGGGAGAAGCTTAACACCACCTTAAGCCCCCCCTCCTACATATTGGTAATTCAAAAATTAGATCCAATCTGACATCTTCTGTTTCAAATATCTATCTTCATGCCATTATACTCTCAACCATGTCGTACTGTTTACCTGTTTGGTCTCTTACAACAAATGAAATCTTAGAACCCATAGTTAGGCTCTACAACAGGGCCTACAAAATTCATAAAAAAACTTCCTGGTTGGACTCATCCAACCCATTCTCACTCTCGAGTCGTCACATATTGACGTTTTTCAAAGGTCCCTTTGCGTCCAATTTTGAC